GGCTGAAAATGCATTTTTAATGTATTCCTAGTTTTTGGAAACTCATTTTTAGAAAATAGTCACTGAGTATCATTTTATTCACTTTTCTTTTAAAGCCTACTAGCATCAATATCTTTTATAATATGTATTTTGACAGTATCTAAAATAGATGAAAATATTTTGATAACTATTTTGATACAAAGATTTGCTTAAAGTCATTGTGATTCTTTATAGATAACAGCACAAATGAAAGGCCAAAAGTATACATTAACTTCTTCAGAAGGGTGGAGAGAATCATATTAATTAAGGGTGAAGATAGTTGGTAGCCTGGAGTATAGTGTAAATAGGTGGAATAGGTAGAACCAAACTTGATTTTAAGTGTACTAAATGGAATTTTGTTTATTTTAAATACAACAAAGAATAAATGAAAAAGACATCATTTTATAGGCCTTATCATTATTATCTTGAGGAGATCTTAAAATGAATGAAATCAAAGTTTTTTAATATATATATATATTTGTACATTTAATCTGTAGATAAAAATAGTAGCACACATAGTTATATTTTGCTTACCCTTGGACAAAATTCTACTAGTTCTAACAGATTATGAAATTAAATCTTAAAACTTCTAAGCTTTTTGTAAAAATTAAAAGTTATTTTAGTAGCTTTTCCCAAGCTGTATACATCCCTAATATTTTATTTAATTCTTAATGATGCATATAGCACTTGTCCTCTTGAAGTATTTTTGAAAGCCTTCACTTCTTGATGGTTCTAAAACATCTCATCACCAATATTAAGGAGGAAATTAAGTGAATGAGCACAGTGATTAGTTCAGACAAAAGTTGTCTGCTTTATTGTTAGAATTTTTATTTAAGAACGTCTGTCATGAATTGGCTGTTTATACTGTTTCTGGATAATATTAAAAACCATCCCATTTTGCTGTACATCTGAAGCTAACACAGTATTTTAAATCAACTATAGTTCAATAAAAAACTGTAGTTAAAAAAATTCCTACTTGGTCCCCAAATTAGATATTGTTTAAATATAAACGAAAATGATATTTTTAGTTCAATGTTAATGTCTCTCAACATTTATAAGTAGCAGCTTTTACTTCCCTAGAGTTCTGTCAGGTTTTTTTGTAGCTATTTTTCACCTAAAGTTCTTTTGAGTGTTATATAGTCTTTTGATTTTAACAATCAGAATATTTGCATTCAGTACTTTGGAATGATTCTAATTTAAGCACAGAGTTTAATTTTAAATTCTCTGAGACATAACGTATACAAAACCAACCCTAACTGGGAACACTAGTGATTGCCTATAGTGTTTTATAATGGCCATTTTTACTTTGATTACAAAGACCCAGTTTCTTAGAACCCCATAATGTCTGTTGCTTCAGGATAAAAAGGAAGTATAGGAATCTCTGGGAAGATACCTGTGAGTATGATTGAATCACCACTCTTGTATCCATTTAGCTTTGCCTGTTCTTCTAGCCAGAGAATGCTTCTGAAAGTAAGATATTAACTGCATGCAAGTACTTGTGTTTGCATGCTAGGAGGTAGCCATAAAGCTTACAGCATCTTAATTCAGAGCAAATGGCACAGTTTCAGTCTCTTTAGAATCATGAGAGCAGTTGAAAACTGGATATACAGTATATATTTATGAAGAAAATAGCAGTAAACCATGGAATTCATTATTCTTATGAAATGTATGTAATAGTTCTGTAGCTGCAACACATTTTAGAATCTGAATCAGAAGATTTATAGGTTACCTTTCAGCAACATTTCTGTGATGTTAGGAATATTAAAGGATTTCTGTAGATTATATAGCATATCACTGTGTGTTTATATAAACACACATATCAGTTACCTGAAATATAAGGTTAGCAGAAAAAAAATTTTTTTTGAATTAGCGGTAAATTGGTTCATCCAAGTTCGCAGTTTACTTTCACAACATAGGTGTGCAGACAGTTTGTTTAGATGTTTAGTTTCCCCCCATCTGTTCTGTCAGGATTATTGATTGAGCAGAAAGCCACTCCAGGGCACACACAGCTCCTCAGAGCCACTGCGTCAGCGCTCTGTGTGGCCTGGCGGACAAGCTGAGGAAGTTACTCCTTCAGCCTCCCAGTAAATCTTACTTGGTCCGAGAATATTGAAATGAAAATGCCTTTTGAAAGTACCCATTCACGAGCTAAATATTTACTTTGGGAACTTCAATTGATGGTATCATTTTTAAATTTATTATTTAATGTCATTCTTTGAAATTAGTAACCATTCAAGAGCTGTTCATAGTGATTTTTTAAAACTCAGCTGATTTTTGATAAGTGGAGGTGTGCACATCAAATGTTACCAAATATTAATCAGGTATTACCAGATCATTTAAAAATAATTGATAACCTGCTGTGACTTCCTTGAATCTTGGATTTTATTAGCTAGTGAAGCAATCTCTGGCTCCTAGTGGACAAATGGAAACTGCACCTTGTTTCCTAGAACTTGGGCTCTGTTTGGGGTTTATTGATGTGACCTCTCACCAGTTTTTAACATTTATATTCTTTTAGTGTTTCAAATCCCCACTTGTTCTTCATCTCTGGGCATTTGTGTTAAATGTTCTCATAACATGTGAGGCTACATCTAGGGTTACAGAGGACAATAGTTATAGAAGGAAATACCAGATATCTTCCTTCATATTTTAACTTGATTTTAGTTTAAACATTAATGACATTGATTTCATGGAAAAGAACACTGTCTTTAGTTTAGTTCTTCAGAAGTCTTTCAGTGAGTTATTTCTTTAGAAGCAGATTTTAATCTGCATATATATCCAGATTGTATGATAAATTGCATTGTAATGGAGTTTGAAATGTATTAACGTTATACCTCTACATTACCATGCATCTTACTCTTTGGATCAGCCCTGGTGCTAACCGTGAAGTTAATTAGCATTTTTGCTAGGAGGGGAAAAAATCATCAGAGGTAATCAGAAGGAACTACAACTCTTAGGTTAAAGAGTGTAAATTTTATATATTACTAGGCTGTGGGTGTTAATTTCAGTCAGGAATTTCTACATTATTTCAAAGTATTATATTTTGAATTAGGTGTAAGGAGAAAGGATACTGTATGAATAGTGGTAACATTATTTTATAGTATATCCACATGTAGAATATTATAATCACTTTTATTTTTATTTTCTGTGTATTTCATCTTCCAGCTGTCTTGAGGTGGGAGTTGAACAGAAATCTTTCTTGTTAATTGATGACAAAGACTTCCAGATAAAGAGGACTGGCTGAGTTGTTAGGATATTTTCTCCTCAACATTGCCTAAGTTTTACATGTCACTGAGATATGTTAGTTACATCACAGTTGTTCAGTACAGAGTAATACAGCAAACAATTCTAATTGTAGCATTATGTATGTATATTTCAGTTAAAGCTGTATGTTCAGAAGCAAAACCACTTATCTTGAGAATCAGTGTTCATTTTACAAAGCTAAATAAAATATACTTTATTTTATCAAACATTTTTTTACAATACAGTTTTATTTTTCAGTTGCTTATTTCTCTTCAAAAATAAAACCTTTTTTTATGTACTCACTTTCCCTTCTGGCCGCAAACCAGGTATTTAAACAAAAATAAAGGATTGCCAGTTTTGCCAGCTGGGGATGAGAACCCGGCTGGTGAAATGTGGGTTCGGGAGGCAGTTAATCCAGCTTTTATGCTTTTTATGGTTTTATGAAAAAAGAGGTTAAAAACCACATTTGGCTCTTTTCTGTGTGTACCACTGTTTTGTTGGTGTTGTAGGAGTGCAATAAGAGGTTACTTAGACTTTAAAATTTTTGTTATTAGGTAAAATCCAGCATCTATTAGATAAAGGCCTACAGACAGCACATTCTGCTGATTGGCCATGGAATAGATTAAAAAGTCACTGGTGTTTAAAAATTACATTACTATACAAATACAGTATCTTGAAATAAAATATTAAAAGATCCAAATGATTAATTTCCACTGAATGAGGAACATATCTTGTATAAAGGTAATCATATTTTTCCTGGTACAAACAGCAAGTTATGTTTCAATTTGAACAGGTTGCTCTAGCACAGCATAACTGATATTTGCATATTGTTTCTTACTAAATATATTTTGCATGTCATGTGTTTTGGGAAGTAAATTTAAGGGCATATACCAAACAGATACTGAGTCCATGATTTTTATTGTTTGTGTTTAATAGAAATTGTTGTGAGTTCTAAAACTTTGGATACTAAAGTTTATTACAACTCAGTCAATCTATCTTTATATTCACTCTGTTGCCTAAATATTTCCTGCAAGAGTTTCAATATGTAGGGTCCTCCAAAAGGTTTCATATATATTTTCATGATTGTCATGCCCTGGATGCTTCTTTAATACAATGCATCTGTTTACTCCTATCTGTCACTGATTTGTATTAGTTAGTTCTTCCCAGTGCAAGAAGGTGTTAGACACATTATGTTCTCTATAATCAACACAGTTTAGCTCTGAGTTGTTGCTTACTGACCACCTTAGTGGAGCCAGAATGAAAAATTAAGTAGGGCTAAGTGAAAATGGGTAAGTATGCAAATAGTTTTTTTTTGATCCTTAGGGTACTCATATATTCATTTACTTTGTTTTGCTGTTCACTGGCTAAGTTATGTCCGACACGTCCAACACTTTGCGACCTGACGTTGTAGACTACAGCATGCTAGGCTCCTCTGTCCTCCACTTAATTCATTTATTTAGAATCTTCCAGTAGGCTGCAGAAAAGGTTGCAATACCTCTTTTTTCCCCACCCCTTATATCTGGCTATATATTGAACATTTCACATATTTGATGTGATTTATATCTTTTGTAAGCTTCTTCATAGTTTAAATGTCAAGATCACAGAATCGCCTACTTTGGTTTTGAAAGTTATGATTCACTTTTGTGTAAAAAGCTTATGTTTTATAAATAATGCTTTAAAAGTTAACATGTAAAAATTAACCTTTTAAAAAAAAATTAATCTTTTACTGGTTTCACTTTTAGGTATTAGAGGATAATGACTATGGCCGAGCCGTGGATTGGTGGGGCCTTGGGGTTGTCATGTATGAAATGATGTGCGGGAGATTACCCTTCTATAACCAGGATCATGAGAAACTTTTTGAACTAATTCTAATGGAAGACATTAAATTTCCTCGAACACTCTCTTCAGATGCAAAATCATTGCTTTCAGGGCTCTTGATAAAGGATCCAAATAAACGGTAAGCCACAAATAACACGCAGTGAGTTACTGATGAATGTGGTTAGAAATTGTGATATGGAAATTAATTCACGTATAACTAACTCCAAGAAGCAATGTATTTGATGCAGACATCTTCCCACTGAGACACTGACTTATTTTTAACTGCATAATATAGAACATTTAAAATTTTTTCTCAACTCTTCCCTAACTTGGAAATTTTATACAGATTTTACCAAATAAGGATTTTGAGAGTGTTACAAGCAAACAATTTCCTCATTTGCATGGTGCTTGCTATTGTGGGGATAGGAGGATTCCTTTTTTCCCTTTCAATCTCTGGGCTTTATATTTCTGCTGATTTACATTATAAAATGGGTAGAACTGTCTCTATACTGTCCTCCCACACTAACCTATGTTAACATATCTAGCTACTTTTTTTATTTGTCGTTTGAAGATAATTCTTTTTCATGCACGGCTGAAAGGACTAGTGGAAAAAATGTCTTTATACACTTTGTATTTCTATTTTTATAGCTACAGCTATGACCTGAAAAATCCTACAGTTCTTTGCTTAATGAGCTATAGTATTCTTTGTTCATGTTTATATATTTATTTATACATACATTTTATAAGTCACACATGAAATGACTATTAATTATAAAATGTCTCAATCTATGTGTTTGTGTATACATGTAAAGTCATTGTTCCATTAGATAGATAGATAGATAGATATACATATCACTATTTCTCTGAAAATCTCTCAGACCTTAAGTATCTGAAGGGTAGGCCATTTTATATATTTAACTTTTTGTAACACCTCACATAATTTTCATAATGTTCTGTTAGTGGTTGATGCTCAATATGTATTTGTGACAGACTGAATTAATGAGTAAAGGAATAAGTGAATTCTAAAATGTGGGCTCTGTTTACCTTGGAGAAGGTTTCCATCACACACTTACAGCTTTTAAATTTGTGAGGAACATGATTGTCCCTTCTTCAGAAATAAGCAAACATAATAAAAGAGGTACCATCTTTTTGCTTAGTGAGGAACCATTCAAAAATGTTTCTGAATCCTGTAACTGAGACCTTACCTTATATTTATAAAGTTATTTTGTGTTCTTTGCCAGGACATTTGCATATCTCTTATTTCCCTTGCTTTTTAGTAGCCTGTGGAGTAGAAGGGATAGATAGTATTCTCATTTCCATTTGACTGGGAGAAAATTAGGCCCAGGGAGGTTTAAGTGATTTATCCTAGTTCTCACAGAAAATTTGTGTAGAACAAGAATAGAGATCAAGTTTTTATGTACCTATTTGATATTTATCTTGTATCTTCTTTATAGTGCACCATGTTCTTGGTTTAGGTTTTAAAATGTATTCCATTTGATGTGATTGTTTCACAACTGTTGTAACAGTGGAGCTAGGATTTCTGTTCTATCTACTTGAGTTTTGGATTTAATATTTGCCTTAGGGCAGTGAATTTTTAACCCATCTTTTTCTGACTTCTTCTGGTTTTCGTGTCTCCTTTATTTTTTTATTGTCGTTTCCCCACCCACCACCCTCACCCCACCCTCTGAGAATAGCATATAGTAATTATTGAATACATGTGAGGGGAATTTCTAGAATGTTAGTGGCCTGGTATGTAGGACAAATCTTAAAGTTTTATCTACCTAGAGGTTGATACTGTCTAAAGAGAAGATGTGCTATTTTAAACTATCTGTTATTTCCCTTTTAAGGTACATAAGTCAAGCCCCTCCACTCCTACATTAAAATATTAGGAATGCAAGATGAATAAGATGAATTATCTCTGCTCTAGGGATTCATAGAATAATGTGGGGTACAAAACATATTTACAGATGCTCAGGCTAAGCTACAGACAAATGCTATTGAAATTATTAGCTATCTAGGGGATTGGAAAACTTGACCTGGCTTATGAAGGGGTTGGAATTTGCAGTGGTTTTCATGCAGAGAATTTTACATGTAAAGAACAGCTTGAATTACAAGTGAACATGACATTTGAGAAGTTCATCAGCTGGAGCATAGAGTATGAGTTGGGTGACATTGGGAGATGATGCTCATGTGTTAGATTCTAAGGACCTTATGCTTCTTAGAAAATATTTAATCTTTATTCAGAAGGAGATGAAAGCCACTGAATTATTAATAGTAAGGGATGGCGTAATCAGATTTGTGTTATGAAAAGATAACTCAGGCAGCTTTGTCATGGATAGATTAGAACAGTGAAGGACCAGGGGCAAGTAGGCAGAGTAATGAAGAATACATATGGAATTGTCCACATAAAGAGATGGAATCCATCCCAAAACAGTGGTAAATAGTGCTGAGTAGATTTTGTGAATGATTAAATAGAAATGATGAAGAAGTAGAAGGACTTCGGGATGCCTCTGAGGTTTCCAACTTGGATGACTAGTCTGGAGAATGAAGTTATTATTGACAGAGTGGGAGTACAGGCAAGGGAGAAGGCTTGATGGGGTGGATGTTGATATTAGTTTTGCTGTACTGAGTCTGAGGTTTCTGTAGAAAACCTAGATGTCAAGCAGGCAGCTGAAAATAGTACCAGTGCTTACTAGAAACACAATAGCTGATTTCCTCCAGGTATATACCCAGGAATGGGATTGCTGGGTCATATGGTAGTTCTGTTTTTAGTTTTTTAGGGAACCTCCATACTCTTCATAGGAAACGTCCCAATTTATACTCTTTCCAACAGTGTAGGGGGGGTTCCCTTTTCTCTACATCCTCTCCGGTATTTATTGTTTGTAGATTTTTTAATGATGGACATTCTGATCAGTATGAGGTGATAGATCATTGTAGTTTTTGATTTTCATTTCTTTAATAATAAGTGATGTTGAGCATCCTTTCATCTGTTTGTTGGCCATCCATATGTCTTGGAGAGATGTCTGTTTAGGTCTTGTGCTCATTTTTTCACTGAGTTGGTTGGTTCGTTGTTTGTTTTATTGAGCTGCATGAGTTGTTTGTATATTTTGGAGATTAATCCCTTGTCAGTTTCATTTGCAAATATTTTCTTCATTCTGAGGGTGTCTTTTTGTTTGGTTTATGGTTTCCTTTGCTGTGCAAAAGCTTTGAAGTTTAATTAAATCCCATTTGTTCATTTTTGGTTTTATTTTTATTATTCTAGGAGGTGGGTCAGAAAAGATCTTGCTGCAATTTATGTCAGAGAATGTTCTGTCTCTGTTTTCCTCTAAGAGTTTTATAGTGTCTGTGCTTACATTTAGGTCTTTAATCCATTTTGAGTTTATTTTTGTCTGTGGTGTTAAGAGAGTGTTGTAATTTCCTTCTTTTACATGTAGCTGTCCAGTTGTCCTATCCAAAGTGAACTTATTTGCAAAGCAGAAATAGAGACACAGATGTAGGGAACAAACTTATGGTTACCAAGGCAGGGTAGGGAGGTGAGATGAATTGGGAGATTGGGATTGACATGTGTACAATGGTATGTGTAAAATGGTAACTAATGAGAACCTACTGAATAGCACAGGGAACCCTACTCAATGCTCTGTGTGGCTGAAATGGGAAAGAAATAAAAAAAGAGGGGATATAGGTATATATATAACTGATTGATTTTTCTGAACAGTAGAAGCTAACACAACATGGCAAAGCAACTATACTCCAGTAAAAAATTAATCTAAAAAAACAGAAACACAAACCTGAATATTTGGATTTGGGATCTGTAGATATGGCTCCATGCCATGAGAATAGTGAAAAGAGTAGAATATAAAAAGAAGACACCCTAGGACAGAGACTTGGGAAATGCCAAAAACTTAGGAGGGAGAAAGAAGAGAAAGAGCCAACAAAGGACCCTGAAAAGTCTTTGGAAACATAATCAAAGATACTATACCTCTTTATTGTTCCTGTTCAATTATTTAAATACTGCTTCAGTTTTTCTGATACTCTTTACTGAATTGCTCTTAGTTCTATCAAAGAGTCAGCTCTCAGTTTGCTTTTATTTCTTATTCTTCATTACTTTATGATTATTCTGTTAGTATCTCTTTTAACATCCTATGCAAATTTTGTAGGAACATCATAACCTCATGTTGCATTCAGTAACACAAGGAAAATGTAAATCCCGTGTTGCTTCTAGTTATGAAGAATCTATAATGGCTGAGGATTTTAGATTAGCTTTCTGATATGGGAATTTAGTATTTTTAGACAAAAATATTTTAATGTAAATCATATTTTGATATTATTTTGAAGTCTTAAATTGTATATTAGGGAGTCATTGACATTGAAATTTTTGACAGTTTCACACTTTGAAGAAGCTTGTGTTAAAGAATCTCTACCAACTTCTAAAATGGCAGTCTAAGATTATATTCTTAGTCTTTGTATAGTATTCATGGCCTATACTTTAGTTATATACGTATTTGATAAATGTAGATTAAATGCTGACTATGTCCAAAGCCAAATATTGCTTGAGAACTAAGGAGTGACATAAAAATGAATGACTGAAGCTGAATTAAAACCTTTTATTTCTAAAAATGATTATAGTTTTCCATTTTAACTGCTGCTTCACTCACCATCTCGTCCATATTTTAGACTGAAAATAGTATTGAACTAAATAATAACATAGATATAAGAAAATACAATGAACTTCTGATTTTTCTCATACATACTACTTTGATGCATACTTTGAAATGTTAAATAATTCTTTCAGAAGCAAGTATTTTGGTGTTTCTGCTTTTCTGGCTTCCTAAGCACAGGCTTAAAACACTTTTTGGATAATCCAGTACTGAACTCTCCCCTGAAATGAATTTGCATTCTACCAGGGGAGAGGCATACATAACCTGAAATAGAATGAGAAAGAGTGAGGCCAGAAGTCCAGTGCTGAGTGTTAACTAAATATAGAGTTGCCAGTCTGAGAGTTCCACATATGAACATAACTATTATGATCTGATCCAATCTGAAAGTTTCAGTCAGAGGTGTGATTTATCCTGTATGAATCTTAGGATAAAAGACCTGGATACTGAGAACTATAGGATCAGCACTACAGATGTTCAGAAATCTGCTAATTGTTTTGTTTTTCCATTCTGACAGTGTGTTCAGAGGATCCTGGATTCTTCCTAGTGATGTATTGCTTATACCTAATAATAACCAGAGTTCATTAAAATTGTATAATTGCTTATTTTCTATGACATGTTTGCTTTTCTTCCTACCCAGTGGTGTGTTGGGAGTTGACATGTACCAGCTTAGAATAGCCAGTTGATAAATATCAAGAATTTTGTGAGCTGGTTGTTGAAAACAGACATTTAAAAAAATTACATTATATAAACTTATAATTAAACCGGGAACATTAAAATCAAGAATAGAAAATACTCAAAACTCATCACTCTTTGATAATGTTGTTAAATTTTACTCTTCTCTGTACTTTTAAGGATACTTATATATTTTGAGGTTGGAAAAACTGTATGTTTTGCTTCTGCACATCTTCTATCGATAAATCTAATAATACATATATGTGTTATATTATATATCTATAATTTCCCAAGATAGCTGATTATTAAACATTTACCAGCATGTATCATTCCTAACAATAAGAGTAAAATCAAATAAAACTTGCTTTATCAAATTCAGATTTAAAAATAGATTTCCTTTATTTTATTTTCCTCCTGTTTCCCTGTCCTTTCTTTCTTTCTTTCTCTCTTTTTCCTCTTTTCCTCCCATCTTACTTCCTCCTCTGTTATTTTCTGTTTCTCTCATCCTTTCTTCATAGTGACTAGTATGTACTATATGAAACTGAGAAATCTAGAAAACACCTGAATTTCAGATTGTGACAGTTGAATAAGAGTACCTTCAAAGATGGGGTGAGGGTATTTTTTAATTTTTAATTTATATTGAAACTTGTATAGCAGATTCCATTGCAGTGATATTTCATATATTAACTTTCTCACTTCTGTAAAAATTCATTTGAAACATGAGAGCAATTTATTGGTTTCTGTTAGCAATGCTCTCTAAATTTTTTTTTTCTAACCAGTTATGTAGTCTTTTCAGAATTTATGTTGACAAGGGTGCATTTTGATTAAAGTCATTCTAAAATAATTTAGGTTTGAAAATTGACTATAGCTACTATTTATTGTGCTAGGTACTTGTCATTTCTAAATACTTAGCATTTAGAAATAACAAGTACCCTAACAGTAATCTTCCATGCTGGTATTATTATTCCCACTATACAGATGAGAGAGAACTGAGCTTAAGTAATTTTTCATTGTCATACATCTCATAAGTTCTAGAGTTGCTTGCCTAGTTCTGGTTTGTCTCCAAAACTTGTGCTTTTTTCAACTACCATACTGTCCCAAGGCAAATTCTTATTAATAGTGAATTAGGAAAATTAGATCTTACTACAAAAGCTTTTTATTTTTATGGCTATTTATCACAAGAACTATTTATACACAGAAAGTTACATTTCACAAAAGCTTTGTAGTTATGCATTCAGCTTATGCAAATGTTCTATAATCATTTAATTTTATTTCTGTTCTCACAGCCTTGGTGGAGGACCAGATGATGCAAAAGAAATTATGAGACACAGTTTCTTTTCTGGAGTAAACTGGCAAGATGTGTATGATAAAAAGGTAGGTTATCTTCATGACATTGTATTTTTACTCTTTTAACTGAATATTGAACTTCTTAACACAAAACATTATTGATAGTTTTTGCATCTGAAATGCATTTTGAAATTTTATTCAATGTGATCAGTTTTTCTCTTTGTTATCAGTAATATGTTAGTCTACTTCTCATCATTTAATTAATTCAGAATAAATAAAGGCACCAATGTCATGTTATTCTTCAGGAAAACTAGCAAAACAATCACAATTTTGAAACTTTGTCTCTATAACCTTTCATTTTAAAGTGAACTCTTCATGTTTATTTATACAGTTCCTTATTTTTAAGAGGAATTTAAAGCAGTCTAGTTTTAATATGTAACAAAATAATACATTTATTTGTCTTCTTTGGGGCTTCTCTTTTACTTGAACTAGAACTTTAAGACTTACAAGATGGACGCTACAAATCATATAATTTTATTTTTACTCCAGTCTCTACTTGTTTCTAATACTGCAGTGTTTACTTAAGTTTAGGAGTAGGAAATTATTGTCTGTTTTATCTTTTAAATTTTTTTAATTTTGTTTTTATTACTTCAGATATTGTTAGTACAGTCAATGATTTTGATATTTTGATTTTCAAATGCTCATATGAAAATTTTACTATGAAATTTTTATGTTATTCAGCATTTGCTTATAATTCTTATCTAGTCAGTTTATGTACTCAGTCCTTCCATTTCAGTTTATTCTAGGTTTTCATGTTTTTCTCTGAAATGTATTAATTAGCAACATTTATGCAGTGTCTTAATTTGTGCTAAATACTCTGTTAATCCCTAAAGCAGAGATAAAATGATATCATAGAGTTATGAGGAAGTAAGACAAGTGTATCATTTTTGTATTATGTTACAGTAATAGGGAATGTGGTGATTTTAAAAGTATTTCTTATAACTAGGTGTTTAAAATAGAGGTGTTTAAAATGTTATGGTACCTCTACTCAAACTTCAGTTAAACTTACATTTCTTGAGTTATGGTACCTGTACTCAAACTTCAATTAAACTTACATTTCTTGAGTTCCTAACATGTATAAAGCACTGAGGTAAGTACTGGATCCTTCTCAAACCTTGTGAAAAGTTTGTGATCATCCTTAAGTATCCTCAATGTTTATTAACTTCAGGCAGACATTTATATATCTACTTTATAATACTGATGAAATTCTTTATGAGTGGCATCTATATACAGCCCCTAAAGCACCACTTGCTGTTTATCATGTCAGTGCACGGCAAAAGAACCTAGAAATAATATATGATCAAAGGTTTCCTTTGGCACACAGTTATAAGCCACAACTAAATGTTCCTTTGGTATGTACTTTGTCCAAAGAGGACTCCACCACCACCACCACCACCAAAACAGAAAGAAACATTTCCTTAAGAGACAAAATGTGGGGCACTGGTATGGCACTGCTAACTTTAAAGAAGGGGCAAAATATGGATTTTCTTCAGTCCTATTCAGAGAGTCAGATACGCTACTAAGATTGTAGTTTGGCATCACCTAAGGAATGCACTGAGAACCCAGCCAGCACACAGTGGAGAAACAAGGCTTATCCTGTCTCTGCTCATGGGCTCAGCATGCCCAGAGTGAAGGTACTGTTAAGACACCCAGGCAGCTCCCTTGTGGTGAATGAAACTGGAGAAGCCAGCAAGAAGGGCAGGACAGGGAGCTGCCAAAACAGAGCTTTAGATGATGTACGTGAAGAAATGAATTTAAGTTGTTAGAGTTTAGATAAAAATAGTTGCTGCTGAATTTGAGCAAAAATGTTAAGTATCCTGCATAAAGAAACACAACCACAAAAATCACCAAGGTTCTACTAGTTGACACTTGCTACAGGTTTACTCAGGGGTGTGGGTGGTATCCTGGATGTTATATGGCACTGATGTTTTTAGCCATCTTCATACACCTGAAGAAGAACAATGTCATAGCAGCATGCTTAAAATTTGACACTCTTTCTAAAAGGTGGTGGAAATATGATTGGGTTTATTTGGGTTTGTATTGTGTTACAACAAACAAGGAATTAATTATAGGAATGCTAATACAGTAGCTATTTTCATGAATTTACTTGTGTTTTCAAACATTTTTGAGGGGTCTTATATCTTTAAAATACTCAACTTATTCTTCATCTCTAAGGTCAGGTACTTTTCAGTTTTACTAATGTGCTTTGGGGGAATTGCTGTTTTTATAGATTTATGACATGATTATTGGCCATCTTCCTATTGATACGTATCATGGTAAACTCTCCAGATGAAAGTATGTGTGAAGATACTGGTATGTTTAGCAGAAGGGCTTCCCCAGTGGCTCAGTGGTAAAGAATCCGCCTGCCAATGCAGAAGATGCAGGAGACACGGGTTTGAGCTCTGGGTTGGGAAAATCCCCTGGAGGAAGAAATAGCCCTCCATGCCAGTATTCCTGCCTGGAAAATCCCATGACCAGGGGGGCCAAGCAGGCTGCAGTCCAGGGGGGTCACAAAGAGTCAGACAGGACTCAGCGCCTGAGCATGAGCACCTCTAGGGGAAAGTGAAACTTCTTCCTAGGGAAAGCTAAAAAGTATCATCATGGACCACTCCTAATAACTGTACTGGAAGATGGGGGTACTCATCCTAGATGAGATGGCTGCTTCTCTCTTGTGTGGAAATGGACAAGTTGTTCTGTACCCACAGGAAATTATGATCATTGAAGTGTCTTCAGTCTTTCAGATTCTCTGGTAGGGTGTTTTATATGAATTTATCCAGGTAAATTTATGTATGTTTTATACTCAGTTTGTCAACTTTATACACAAAAGTCTGCTGGGAGTTTACTGTGAGACTGTGTTCAATTTATAGAAGAATCTGGGAAGGATTGGCATTTGAAAATGCTGACCTCTTCATTTATTTAGGCCTTCTTTAATTGCTCTCAGTAATGTTTCATAATTTTCAGTGTTTAGTTCTTATTCATATTTTGTTACATTTATCCATAAGTATTTCATGTCTTCTGATGTGAATGCTACTTTAAAATTTTATTTTCATATTGTTTGCTACCAGTAGAAATAAGATTGATTTTTGTATGTGGATCTTGTATCCTACAATATTAGTTTTGGTAGGTTTTTTGTACATGATGTAGGGTCTAAATAGATGACTATATTTTATATAAATAAAAAGCTTTACTTCATTTTCAATCTGTATGTATTTTATTTCTTTTCCTTTATTATATTGACTAGGACTTTTCTACAATGTGGAAAATAGAAATGATGAGAGTTAACATCCTGGTTTTGTTTCTAAGGAGAGAAAACATTGTTTACCATTAAATATGACATTAATCTCATCTAACACTGAAATATTCATTACTAAATATCATTCTCCAGTAAAAAGAATAAAAGTTTTTGGAGAAGTAGTTGATCTCACAGCTGGGATGGGGAAGGTAAAAGAAGAGCCCAAGAAATTTTGTGGTGCCAGAAAGTAAAAAAAAAAAGCAAGGAAGTTAGTTAGAAAGGTTCATGTTAATAGAACACAGGAACCAACCTTAAGTAATTTCCAGTGGTGAAAGCTAGAACAATTTCAGTAGCAAAACAAATATTGTATATGACCCAAAGAATGAGATCCATGTCCATTAGTCTATTCTGTGAAATTCTTGATTGAACAAATAGAGAAAATATTGAGAAGAGACATGTCTTCATTAAAGAAGTAATAGTATTGTTGCTCAGTCATGTCTTGACTCTTTGCGACCTCATGGACTATATCCTGCCAAGCTCCTCTATCCATGGGATTCTCCAGGCAAGAATACCAGAGTGGGTTGCCATTCCCTTTTCCAGGGGATATTCCTGACCCAGGGATTGAACCCAGGTCTCCCATATTGCAGACAGATTCTTTGTCACCTGAGCCACCAGGAAAGCCCCATCTTCATTATAGGTAAATTCCAATTAATAAATGTAGAAGGAATCAAGGAAATAGAAAATTATCATTAAGAACCTCAGAATAAAAATTGCTGTATGCAGTTCACCAATGAATGCTAAAATTAGTGAGTAAAAGTAAAGAAACAGAATATTTGCATGTCCACATATCTCTCTCAAAATATATATTTACAAAGATTAAAAGAGTAATTTTAGAGTTTAAAAAAAACCCTTGGCAGATGCTGAAAAATCATTGTAACCCATGCTATGATAGCATGAGAAGGCTATTATCACTTTTGTAGTATTCTTCAAAGTGAATAACCTCAGTATGATCATGAGAAAACCTGAAGAAACCTGCATGGAGAGATATATACCTCAAAATAATTGGTCAGATAGGTTTAAAGGTAAGAGCTTCATGAAAGGCAAAGAATGACTGTGGAACTTTCACAAACTGAAGAGACTGAGGTGGCATGACTAAATGTAGTATGGAGTTCTAGATTGGATCTTGGAATAGAAAAGGGCCCTAAGTGGAAAAACTGGTGAAATCTAAATAAAAGTCCTAGTTGATGAAAAAGTGAAAGTGTTAGTTGCTCAGTCATATCCAACCCTATGTGACCCATGGACTGTAGCCTGCTAGGCTCCTCTGTCCATGGAATTCAAGAGTACTGGAGTGGGTAACCATTCCCTTCTCCAGGGCATCTTCCCCATCCAGGGTTGAACTTTGAGTCTCCTGCATTACAGGCAGATTCTTCACTGTCTGAGGCACCAGGGAAGTTTTGCTTAACTTGTTTTTATCTCTTTCTGAAGTATATGTGCTACAGTCTTTGAAGAGTCGCTACAGTAATACCTGTCTCATTTACATCCCTCACTGAATCATCTCCCTCATCTCTACCTGTTCCCTGGGTGTAACAGGTATTATCTGCTTCCTCCTTGTTATCATCAATCAGCTCAGGACGAAATTCATACATTTTACAACCACTGAAAATTAGTGCCTACCCTGTTTTGAAGTCCTTCTTTCCATTTCTTGCTCAAGTTTATCCATCTTTTCTTGTCTTTTCCTTCCATATAAAGAAAGATTCTGGAGTTATTTTGGCAGTGTTTGGACCTAGGGCCAAAC